AATTTATATTACTTTACTAAAATTGACCACAGCTCCCAGGGCGCGATCTAGCCAAAACTACTTTTCAATATAGTTAACGATTTGTGAGCAGGTCTCATTATGCCCTGCGACACTTGCATAGCATCATTCGGCAGGTTGATAAAATAAAGCTCTCGACATGCTGGTATTGAATGTTTTATATACTAAAGAAGTTTCATGTGGACAAACTGTTTTCAGAAGAAGCAATCGTAGATATATATATATATATATATATCAAGAATGGTCGGTCATAACCTTGACAAGTGCGTTAGGTAAAAAAAAACATTCCGCTGACTAATACATTCTTCCGATAAAGTAAGCCGAGAGGAAATCAAGGTCAACGAAGAAATTTTAGAGTCCCTTCTTTCAGAAATATCAATTTTTCATTCATCCGAAACCGGTCACCGCCGGAGCTCGAACGTATCAAGGTTGAGGGTGTTTAGGAGGAATTGAATCCGAGTTAGTCCACAGAACATCGATTTTCGATAAACTCTGAAAAGAAACCGAAAATTATTCAGAGCACAATTTGACACTGAAAATTTACTAGGCTGGTAACCTGTCGACAACCGCCGCTAATAAGATTGTTAGTTTTTCATTTTTGTTATATTTTTTTAGCTTTTCGTGAGAATTTATTTTTCCATTTTTCATAATATATATATATGTATGAGTGACTATCTATTTGCATGGGTCTTTATAATCATGGAAAGAGAAGAACTGTGCCAATTGTGCACCTTGTGGTACGACCGAATGCGTCTCTGTTACGGAGCTGTCACTGGTTATTTTTACGCCCTTTTGGGCACACTTGTAGGCTCATTCCTTATAGCAGCGTTTCCCAAACTTTTTTGGCCACGGAACACTTACGATTTTCATCTCCGCTCGCGGAACACCAAAAAAGAAAAGAGTAAAATTGATAAAAAAGAATGGTGTAATGCAGCGATTCCCAAAGGGGTGGCAAGTTGCCAAATGCGCCGCGAAAACTAACAGAACTAAAACAGGATTGGATATTTGCATTCATTATATTCTTTCATTGTTTCTTATTGTAAATGCTGTGTATATGAATCAATAAATTTATTTTACCTTTCTATGCTGACGGTTAACGAAAATGCCACTACCCTCAGAAAGTTAGTCCGCTTTAGATGGACGGAGTCGCGATATTGAACAGTTAACAGTTGGGCGACAACTTCACGATCCCGAGTTCGCCATGGCGACTAATTTAGTCCTAATTTTGAGTTGGGAAACACTACCACAGAGAACAGAATCTAGGCACTGCTGAAACAGCTTCTCAACCGAAGCTCTTATGTCTTTAGCTATTGCCATCAAAATTTGGAAATGCTTTCCAAGCCCATTCAATACTTCAAAGACAGTCGTTACTGTCACATTTTTTTGCTTCTGAGTAGCGCTATGGTGTGAGGTGTATCAAAGATCACTTTTTCTCAGGCTAGGAAACATCCTTCCAATATGATCAAGTTCTTGAAAAACTGCATCAATGAAGCAAGTTAACAGGTAATGGAATAAATGTACATGGTGGTCTACCTTATTTTTAATAACTGTTAACCTATTTTGGATCATCATTCAGTTTTAAATTTTAGCACGTTATTTTATTCAATGCGTCAGTATTAAAAAAAATAATCGGTATTACACAGAACATAAATTGGAGAGATTTCAGAAAAGCTTACAGAATGTAGTGTACACTTACAAGGTCCTTTTATTCGAACATATATGATATACAGATATGATATGCAAGGAGTTTGATTTCGATTTAAATGGGATTTACACAAGTTCGGCAAACGACGTGATGAGCCAAAGTGTTGTTCAGTCCGTAATCTAAAATAATTAATCTTGCATCTTGCATTTTGCTTCTCCGCGATGTTCCTGACGACTTGAAAACTAATATACTGTAAAAATTCAAAAGTTGTTTTAAGCCGTTGAAAAAGATGAGTGGTGGCAGAATAAATCAGAGCTCACATACGCGTTTATTAGTTAGAATCAGACATCATTTATTGTACTGTATAATGATATATTTTAATAATATCTAATGTATTCCAATAGGACAAATATCGTGACAAAAAATAATGGAGCGTTTCAATCAAAATATGCCCAACAACAAGGTTCCCTTCCAGTGGTAAGAGCATCAACTTTGTCTCTTATTTATCCAAAAATCTGACGAATAGAAATCAATTTATAATAAATGTTACGCAACTCACATTCACCATAATGTTTGTCGCATAGGCAATAAATATGGGAATAATATAGTACTTGGAAACGACTAAATTCTGAATACTACATTGTTATTTGAACGCGTGTACCCACTTCCAATTAGATGGTTCATAAAATTTCTTTTGTATTCCTGGGCGTCGCCAGCATATTCATTGGTTCGTTATGATTTTAAGCTGATGTTAGATACTATCAAACAATGAATCGTTATGGTAAAGATCACAATCGAGGTTTCATTTTCTGTTGTAACTGATGTCATATGCCACGACAAGCCTTGTAATACCTAGTTGTATTAAAACCTACAAAAATTTACAAATCAATACTACTATACATGTTCATTCTTCAAAGTAATTTTGCAACCATACATCGGATAAATGTATATGTATTAGCACTATTTTGACCCCACTCTGCCCAAAATGACGATTGGACAATTCATTGCTGGCAAAGATTTGCTTTAGCCGTAAGACCATACGAACGGCCATTATCAATCATTCGATAGGATACGATGTAGAACATGAACTTTTTTTGTAATTTCAAATACATATAGGTACTCCATTTAAATGTCGCATTCGCGTCCCAAGAAAAGCCTCGAATGCGGATTGAAAGAATCATCTCATGAGGTACTTCAATCAATGTATTGAATAACTAAAAGTAACTTTTGTTCAAACTTATGCAGATGTTCAATGTTTGTTCAGTAATTTCAATCCTGATATGCACGTGTTTACATATATATGGCAGCCGAAGATGCATAAAACGCTTTTTTAAAAACTCAAAAATACACCCGACAAATTTTTCCCTACACTGTAAGGTGGTGTGTATACACGCTTACACGTTTTTGTATGAGCATTTGCTGTGCCGAACTTATACGCATGAAATTGATTATACCAACGTATCTGGCTATCATTGGACTCGGCTACTGTGTTCTATTTTAGTGACATAATTTCACCGTACGAAGTAGGACAAGAAGTGTCAATACGTTTACAATGAGTTTGTTAGGTTTTTGAGAAGGAATTGCTCTGAAAAAATAAACAATGGGCTCTCGAGCGGAATAAACCAAGATAATTCCTCAATAATCAGTCTTGTTAACTCAATCTCTCTGCTTTGACCTCGGGCGATATTGTGGAACTGTTTGCAATCTACATGCGTTGCTGTGGGCCTGTATATTGGTTGCTGTGTGCTGACCCCAGGCAAGTCACGATATAATGAGAGTACGCGCATTCCCGGAAGCGACTGGAGAGTAGCATTGTGTACTGTTATAGTAATAGTCAGAGCAAAATTTAAGGAAAAATCCCACATGGAACGTGCGCGGAAAGGTTCAGAAACTATGATCCGATACAATTTCGTCTAGCAGTAATAGATGAGATACCGTGCTTCTACGTAATGAAGTGCGATTCTCTTCCAAAGTGTAATCACTCTTTCGTACGAAATGTATAACATTCGTTGCCACAGCTCCGAAGGGCAGAAACCCGATGGGCAACTGTAGTGATATGCGTCTCCTGATTAGAGATGTACCGATACCACTTTTGTCGCCGATACCGATACCGATCCGATACCAGCTAAAAACGCCGATACCGATACGCCGATACTACAAAAAGGCCGATATTACCGATATTCCGATACCGATACTATGTAATTATTACTTAATTAGGTATGCTGTGTAGGGCAGACGGGTTAAAACAATGGTCTTTAAGCGTTGTTCATAGTACACATTATTTCAGATCGAAAAAAAATATATATATATCACATAATATGAAATTAATGTTTGGTATCCATATGCTGTAACTGATTAAGATACACTGTACAGCAACGCTAGTAATCTCGGTGTTCAATTAGAAAACTCATAAGCCGGGATGTCCAATTTGAATTTAATGTTAATATCGCGAGCTTCGAATATCGTTATTCGTGTTTAAAAGAATATCGAATATCACCCACACATTCTAGCGCCGCCGTCCTACGTTCAAATTAAAAGCATTTTACAAATATTTAATTTAGTGGCTAATCGTAATCGTCGATCCAATAAGTCAAAGCCAACATGAAAGAATATCAATCAGCACCGACAAAAAGAAGGCCCACCGATAACCGTTGAGGATGTTTTTTTACTTCACTATTTTATAATATTTTACAATTGCTATCATATATTTTGAGACAGTCTAGGGCTAGGCGGTCAAGTCAATATATCTATAAAGAAATCGTGTAGTTAAGCAGAATTAAAATTAATACCTGTGTAGTGGGATAATTCTGTCGGAATTTAGTTTATCGATGTCGACGGACTAAATGACACTCGTACTTGACGACAAACAGTCAGAATTTATACCCGTGCCAAAAGTCCATGTGCCGTTAATAAGGAAGGACCCCAATTCCACTGTATGATTTAAAACTGGGCGCCTAGTTGCTTTTTGTTATGTGCTGTGTTGATATATTTCTTCATAAAAACTATGTAATATTAAAAATGTCAATATAAAAATTTGACAGCGAAAATAGCCAAATTAGTTGAGCTAGTTTAGCTGATAAATAGCTAAAAACACGTGAATCCTATTCTCTCGCAAGGGTGGGGACATGTATGGCTCATAGCTCACGATCTCTCCAGACAAAAATAAATCAAAAAGTAGTATTCCAACTTATCTTTTAAAACATTCTGGACCATATCAAAAAGGTAAATATATCGGTAATATCGGCCTTAATCTAACCGATACCGATACATGGCCGATACCGAAAAAATGGCCGATATTGCCGATACCGATACATCGGTACATCTCTACTCCTGATCAGTTAATTGCTCAATTTAGACTTAACACTTTTGTCTTTTGATCGCACTTACCAACATTGGCTGTCAATAAAATGCAATACTGTGCGGGAGGGAGTTTTGTCGCTATGATATGAATTCAGAATTAACCGCATAAAATATCCAATTATGGTCAATCAAAATCTTAATAACCAGAGACAGAATAAAAAATAATTTCCTACGCTGTTTTTTCAGTCATTCTTTGCAAAGGAAACTCATAATATATAATATAATCTCTCAAGCATGAATAAGATAGCCAGATTAGCTCATTCCGCAGCAAGAAAATGGGAAATGACGGATAAATGTTTACCTAATAAATATCTTTTGTATCGGGATCAAAATTTGAGGTAAGTTTTTGAGCTAAATTTTTCTACGAACTTTAATATATTAATCAATGTGTATATAAATTTAAAGTTTAGAAATGGTTCAATCTGACGGTAACAGAGAAGACTGGACTTCATTTTTTGATATATGTGTCCATTCTTTTCAAAATGACGTTGTTTACAAGCAGTTATATCAAGACGATGAACAGCGAAGTAAATTTCTAAAATCTTACTACGAACATTTATACAGATGTGCATATAAAGATGATCTGGGAAGCCTCGCATATTTACAAGTATGTCATTGGGTTTTGCCGCTATTTTGTTCGTATTTTACTTATAAAATTTCATTTCTTCTCACTGTAACTTTTTACAAAGGCCACAGATATGAAAACGAAGGCAAAATATATGGTTGGAGGGTTAACAATTTCTAAGGAATGGAATGAAAAGGAACAAGAAGATCCTAAAATGAAATTTATAAACGAAATAGCATGGGAGAAGTATATCAGGTAATCACCACTGATAAAACAAGTTGAAGATTATTTCAGAGTATCACCACGAATAGATTGGAGTTGAACCACAAATGTACTCATACTCAACGTACAAACGTACTCAAATCTACTCAAAGGATTTAAAATAATGTTTAAACTCTCTTTGCACTTATATAGTTGAATTCTCAGCTATGTTGTTCTAATGAAAATAAATTATGGCTAAGCCAATTATTGGATTATACAAATGTAAAATAGAGAAAAAGAAGGCTTTGAATTACGCCACTCGTAATGACGTTGTGTATGAACTCGTCTTTTATTTCCGAACATAAAATTTTCAATCTAACTTCATTCTAGTTTTAGATTATAAAACGTCTTTAGTAAATAGAAGTAAATATGAAAATATTGATAAAATAGCAAGCAATAATGAATAGTGTTTGGGTACTCCCGAAGTATGTGAACCAAGATGGTGGACACCGGAACCTAGTATGTGTACCAGGTTAGGGTTAGGCCATAATTTCAGGTACAAATAATATACGTTATTCACTTGGCTAGTCCCCGAACTCAATATAGAACTAAAATAAAAATAAATAGGAATAAAATTATGGCCTAACCCTAACCTGGTACACATACTACGTTCTGGTGTCCGCCATCTTGGTTCACATACTCCGGTAGTACCTCTTTTCGTAATCTGTTATACCTATCATCAATTCACCTTTTATATCAGTTATAATTAGAATTATCATCTAGTCCTCTTTGCTGCACTTTCCAGTTTTTCCGCCATGCTGAATAATAATGCGCTTTCTGTGTTTTCAGGCATGATCGGTGGTTACACAGAAATATCTATCAGCGGTTTTTAGATGTTTCAGGCTCTGTAGGAAAAAAACTGGTGTATCGTAAGAACCGGGTACTTTTGAACGATTATAGATATATTATCCCATCGGGTGTTTGGGCCGATATAGGCGCCCAAATGATGCTTGAACATTCATATGGTGAAACATGGAAATCGGACTGCATAGTTGTCGCTATGACAGACAATCCTCCGTTAGCGCGTCATTTATCACGTCATAAATGCAAAGTCGTTCAAATTTATCAATGCGATGATGGCAATTTTTTCAAGGGAAACAAAATAGACACTAAGAATGAAGGCGATGATGAATTATTGATTTTTGTTTATCTATATGGAATGAATGATAACGAAGAACTTTTCAATTATATCAAATATAAGACTCACGACAAAACCTGTTCTTTGAACGACAATACTGTCAAGGAGATAATGCTCAAACAGTAGAAAATTTAACAATTAATAATTTCAAAAAAGAGAAGGACGTCATCTTCATCCGATTATCCTATTCTATTAAATATTTCAAGTAAGTTTTTCACAACAGGCGAAGTATTCATATAAATAGAATCCTTCTTTTTCGATGCCAAGCGAGTATTTCATATTTTCATTGCATATATACGATATTCAATATTGTATGAATTTATATATTTATAACATGTTCGTATAATCAATCGATCATTCTATTTTACATGAAACAAATGGGAAGCTAGTATCTTTATTAAATAGACAGTAACTTTTCCTTACTTTTATTATATATTTTTTATATTTTCCTTCCATTTTGAATATATATATACAAGTACGTTTCAATAAAGGATAGTCTAGGCTTCGGCAGCTTGATAAAACTTATTATATATATAGAGGAAGATGCTGCTATTTTATTGCTTCAGCTTCTGATTTCATCTTATTCAAGTAACCTTGTGACACAGGTCACATACAAACTCACAAGTATGTGAAGCAAATGTAGTTCGTCACATGGCACCGCAACACATATTTTGAATATGGTTCAAAATAAATAAATAAAACGATTATTTGAATGTTGCATTCTATTTAAGGGACCAGAGTTAATAAACGAACTTTATTCTGCTCTACTCTGTTTCCGTATTTCGGGGAAAAAAATATATTATGTTGTTCATTCACAATAGTTAATTTTTCTCGAATATCTTCCATGTGGTTTGAACCCAATTTTCTTTCTACTTATTGTTCAATATTTTCCATACGTATAGAAAATAAACAAATTGTAAATAAACTCATTTCCGTTTACTTCGGACAGTTCTTGGTCCAGTTATGATGTTTTTGCATTAGCTTATATGAGGCTATACACCTGGTTGCAGGACGGACTAACATTTTTGACGGCACCGGCACCGCCAATGCGCACGATTGCAAAGAAGGAATTTCGTAGTCATTTCACAGTTCAAGTCATTTTAGAATAATCGAACTAGTGCCGGGTGTTTAATACCACATGTGGAATATTCAGTTTGAGATTTTTTTATTATCTATTATTTTAGTCTCGTCGACATTCAAGTTAACATATAAGACTTGAATCAAAATTTTTCGTTAAGGGATTTACCGCGTCAACTTCACTGTACCATAAACACATTGTGCAAGTTTGATTGCCATGAAAATCCTATTTAATATTTTCTGATCCATGTGATATCGTTAAGGATATGGCAGGATATGGAAGACATGAACATAAACCACAACAATTTGAAAACTCAACAACGGGCAATGGTAAATTTTTACTACCATTGACATAATTTTTCGTTTTATCAGTCAATAGAGAGCAGTGTTGAGATACCTGGACACGAAACAATGCTGAATATGAAGTGTTTTCTTTAATTAAAATAAACACAAAAAGTGTAGTCAAAATATCGAATCCCAATATCGAAACGACTCTGGTGAATGGGTGGGGATGTAGACACAGCGGATTGGGACTTGAAAAAAAATAATTAAAAGTAATCGCTATCTCCAATTGTGATGAAATAGGTGAATGACTTGGCAACCCATACTCACCTCCTACCTAACCCGGCCAATGAAATGTCGAATTTTCATTCAGTTGAACCAAATACTCACCAACTTATAAGCTGATTTCTCGAAATTTTAAACATGCAATAACGCAAAATGTGCCACACCTGATTCCCATGCATTCGTCGAAATATGGCAATCCTAACCTAAAATCACAGTTTGCGAAACGCTACACTACACCAAAATCATATAGATCTATTTTAATTGAATTTCGTCAGACCAGACTCAAGCGTAACACATGTATTGAAAGAAACTCATTTTTACTGCATTCTTTCTTTTTGAATTCAAGCCGACGGAACCCCTGCTTAAAAGCCATGTAATATACATTCATACGATTCAATTACACATATAGTAATAAAGAAATGCTCAGTCCACATTTTTCAAGATTTGTCCCAATTTTCGAGAGAACTTCATTGTGCAATGTTTGTTTTAAGACAGCCCGACAAATTGGAGATATAGGAGATGATGATGCCCAATATTATTTTCAAAACATGTTATTTTGATCTCAATGTTAATAAGGAGTAACGTTTCAAATCAATTCATAGCAGTGATGTTGGAAGCATTCTCTTTGATGTATTTTACAATTTCTTCATCATCTTCTCCGCATAGTAGAATGCATATTATTGAATCCTTTGAAATACTATCATCATAATTATTGAATGAATTTCCATCTCTGCATACTTAAGCTTGAACGATTTTTGCATGATTACTAGCTTCGTATAGCCGAGCCAATTTGAAAGAATCTGACATGGAAAACATGAGACATTCATTGGAAGCCCATTTGTCAGTATAAATATTTTCAGCTATCATGTATCCGCCAATTGCTGACCAAAGCATCGAAGAGGTGAGACGCCTAAACTCGCTTTTCATGACGGTACTCCCAAAATGAAGAAAAGTCTTTCCCAGAGAGTCGGATATATATGTCAATTTCTTGAATACCGTTTCATTCAGCCATTGTTTGCGCCTAAAAAGTTTATAAATTATTGTTCCCCTATACGGTACTACTATTTTGATATTGACATTGTTCTTACCGGAGATATTTTTTCCACCCAAATGGATTGATAAGTTTCATTCTGTGGTCTTCAATTTCTGTTTCATCCCAATCGTGGCTCATAGCGACCCCCCCCCCCCCCCCCCCCCCCCAATCATTGACGACGTGTTGTGATCATGATCACGTGCCTTTAACGAAAAGTAAATGTATGGAAACTTTTCTGCAAATTTCCAGTGTGTTGTACAAAATCTTAGTACAAAACTCAGATCTAAGACACCAATCCTATATTTAGCGAACATTAAAAACAGTCAATAAATCAGAATAGTAGTTTAGTTGCATGCGTTTAAAAAAGTGAAGGCGTGAACTTGGAAACAAAAGTCCCTGGAAAATTAAGTGTTTCGTCGTGGAAAATATATACCAGACTCTCAACTTTATTCACAAAGCAAATAATGCCATAAGCTTAGCCAATTAACTTTTTCTAATGGAATTTTGCAGTGAGACATTAATTCTTACGCCTTTTCCAACAACATTTTGCTCTATTCGAGAACGATTTACTGAAAACCGGACGTTTCCTCATTTGCTATTGGCACGGTAACAAACAAAAAAGATGTTGCTACTGTGGTTGTAGATGAATCAGAAGACCCAAGGGCTCCGGATTGGTTGTTCATTGTAGCCTACGGCAACTCCACAATTACAAACTTATAACAGTCAAACAAAACACCGACGAAGAACTGAAAACACGACCGCCCGCCAGCGCAGCGGCCGGAGAAAAAAAACGAAAGACACAGTTTTTCTCTCACGTGTAGTGAGTGGTCGAAGTCCAGATCCGACAAAACAGCATTAAACAAGGGTCAACATAACTGTTTATAAAACATAAAAATATATATATATACACACAATATAAACACGGACACTTTAGTCCACGACAGCTATCATAATTCATGCCACTAAATAAACCAAACGAAAATTATTATTCCCTTATTCGAAATCAACGGGTCTTTGATGAAAAGGATCCGAAAATAGTGAAATATATTAATTTTTTTCAATTTGGATGGTTTTGGGTTCAAATTACACTATATTCCGCTTTAGTTTCTGATTATATTCAGTGATAAATAACGAGAGAACATGAACGGGTACGGGCACGAGTATGGTGGTCTCATGCCATGCCCCATTGGCCGTCCTGAATACGCCAGAAACCTTGCGAGATTACTTCTACGCACATTTTCTTTCTACTGTGTAATATAGATTACTTGTATTCCCAACAATTTTATTCACCTCAACATACGCCAAATGACCTTTTCCATCCTTAAAAGCAGCTCTATAGTAATGTTCGTAGTAATATTTCAAAAACTGTCGGCGTTCCATGTCATCTGGATACATCTGTCTGTAGATTGAATCATTCTGGTATTCACTAATGCATATCTTCATAAACGTATTCCAATCTTCGGTTTTCCCGTCTGACAACACATTTCTAAACTGTTAGTTCAGGGGTCTAGTTAGGGAGCTCCAGAAGTATGTGCACCAAGATGGTGCATGACCTGAACACAGTATGTGTGTACCAGTTAGGGTTCAGGTTGTGCGATGTCTTGGTGCACATACTTCTGGAGCGCCAGTCCATATCAATTATCACTCAATATGAGAGTTAGCGAGAATAACGCTGCACTTCTGATCGAGAGCATCACGTTGTTGTTGTTTTTAGCTGAGGTTGAAAATTCCGTGACAGGGGGAAGCAATTACAGGGTAATGTGATCAAATAAAATAGTATCGAAAATTTGCAGCGTTGGTCGTCTTGTTTACCGTGTTTATAAAGAATTAATAATAATAAGACATTTTTGTAGGTATACTTAATATTCGATTGCCACCCAGGCCGCAAATTTGCATCGATGTCTGTGATTCCGTTTGAGTTGTACGGTCTCTAGATCTGCTAATTGCTAGCCCAACCTCGGCACTTTTGGGAGAAGGGTTCACAATTGAACAACCTTTACTCCAACGAGAGCTATGCTTGAAACTCGCTAAGGACAAAAGCCTAACAGCAGTAGCCTGTTCGACCTACACAGAGTTATGTTATCCGATCTTTGAAATAAATCATACCGAAATTAAAGAATCAAGAGACCATTGGATGAAACTCTCTCCAACTGTTAACGGAACCCCTGCAACTTAGTCACTTGTTTTTTGAGTTTCAAGTGTTGTTCAATTTTAATTGATAGAAATTCCGAATTACTCAAAATCTTCATCTAAATTCTCACCGACCTGGTGTTGTCGTCTTTGTAAAAGATTTTTCGGGGCTTAGTCGAATATGACCGAAATATACTGTACAGACGATGTTTTGTCTGTTTGGTAAAAGTCTTCGTACCGCGTTCGATTTCATTTTGATATTCATAATTGAGACATGTTTTTTTGAAACGAAAGAGGAAAAGGAAACGACAGCGAAACATCACTAGCAGTTGACTATGGATAATATATGAACAATTTATGTTAACTCAGCTTATAGAAATTCAACTGAAATGAAATTATCACACGTTATACACATATATATTCGTTATGGCATCTTTTGTTTATTGACGTTCCTCACACTGCTGACTCTGTATATAAGTCCTGTATATAACTACTATAATAAGAATGTAAGAATGAGAAAGTTGAAAAATGAGGAATATCTTTGCATATTATACAAATTTTGCCCTGACGTTATCATAACGATGACGATGCTATTTGATGTGCCGATAGTAACTAATATTCAGCATAAAATAGGATAACAGTTTCTGAATCATGCCAATGTTCCTATGTACACTAAAGGCTGTTTCATGTAAAACAAGATTTAAATACACGTAATTTCTGTACCGGGAATTCTGATTTTGCTGATTCCCAAAAACGGTAACTTTCTAGCTTATATTTTGTAGAGTCTACAGTGCCAAATAAGTACATTTCATCTCGCGAAGGATCTCATCACAGGACATCATTCATGTTGCACAAAAATATGTTCTTGGCAGATTTGATCGATGTTCCGCGTAGAACGTGATCTACATTGCCATCTTTAGCACAAAAAAAAACAGTTCTGTCCAAGTATATTTATGATACGATTAATTTTGTCACGAGATTTTGTACGCTATAGTCTATTATCTCTTTGATCTTCAACGCGAAAGTGTGAAAAAGCAGGCCAGATAAATTAAAAGTTTAATACGAGACGCAAAATCATTGAGGAACTTTACCCAAATCGAATATCGATTCGCTCATTTGCCGCGTACTGACAACGTTGG